CTCGGACCTTTAACAGGGAGTTCGCTCTTAACAAGGAGCTCGGACTAAGTGCAGCGGTCTGGAGTTCGGGCTCGGTAGTGAGTTTGGACTTGCTTCCGATGTTCGCTTTGGGTGCTCTACTGTCCCGAGCTGCTTGCCTTTGCCACGTGTCGGGCGATCGCGAGGTCGGGCCAAATTTCCCTTCATCAATTGCAATTATTGTATTTCTTGGTTTTACCAGCAAATAAAATACAAACTTTATTCAATAAATATAAACAGAACCAAACATATACTAGATCATTGTATGGAAACTGTTTTTGGCTGATGAGTACTGAAATGAATTGGCCATTGCCTTACAAACTGAAGATGGTAAAAGAGGATTTCTGGAAGTAAAACCCTAGATATTGATCATATTCTAACATGAAAAGAACTATAAAGAACAAAAACCCTAACATTTGAAAACCAGAAAAGAACACACATAAGAACAAAAACCCTAACATTGGTACAGTTGTTCGTGCTCTATTTTGGTTGATCAATTTAATTTTAGCATAAAAACAATGATTAAATGATCAAGTCTTACATTTCTCACTTCTCAATTTTCCATAAAAATTGTATCCAGTTGATGTTGCCAAAAGTATCACAGGGTTGAACCCTCAAACCATATTAGACAAACAAGTTTTGTCATCCTGAATTGGCCAATAATTAATAACCATCTATGCTTTTAGTTTTTATTTTTTTAATTGTAAAAAATTGTTTGCACATTTGATATGTTGCATGGTCTTATTATTGAGCCATCTCCAACTTTATTGGTATTTTAAACTTTAAAGGGCTCTCTCTTATATCCATTCTTTTAACAAGTATGAATAAATTGAGTTATTTATCCCAAAGAATAAGGTAGTACAGAACTAGTGTAAATTTCTGAAGTTAGATTTTTAATTGAAAATTATGTGCCTGTTTAGCAAGTCTTTTCTAGAAGATCTATTAGATCTATTGCCAAACGCAGCCTTAACTTTTTCCTTAATTTTTAATCTCTCAATTATTCATTAAAGAATTATTCAAAATTGTTTCATTGTCTTCGGGCCCTTTCTGCTAGTTAGTAATTACAACGTTTGGGTTTGGCAAACATTCGGAAAAGGGTCGCCCTTCACTCGATTTCGAGTTTTCGACTGAGAGAAACTCTGCCCCAGCGACTGAGAAGCATCGACACAGGCATGTTCTTCTCCTTTTCTTCTTCCAGTCTTCGGGTTTTTTTTTTTTTATGTCTTTTTCTTCTTCTCTTCATATGTACTAATCGAGATTTTTGTCTTGTAGGAGGCTAAATACTCTCTGTTCTTCGCCGTGTTCAGGTACAATCAGCTGCCGTTGCTCATCCTTTTTTTTTCAGTTTCAATTGATGTAGGGTTTTAAATGTCTATTTCTCCACGCCCAAATAGTTCCTAACGAATGTATATTTCAGGTTCATTTGCTTTACTGTTTTTTTAACCTGTGTTTCTTAACCTTGACGCTATTTGTTTGTTTGATTCATGCTTGTTCCCCGATTGGTTTATTTGTTTGTTTCTTAAATCCTGTCTTTCGTTTGAATTCAATCTGAATTCAGTCATTTGTCAACATAATGCCATCCACGGCCTAGAGGAGATGGGTACCAAAATGGCCTATCTGTTGTTGAGCCAGCGTTAGGCATGAATGTTGAAGAAATTTGAATCTGTCTCTATTCAAACCAGGTTAAGCATCTTGAACATATGCCGTTTCTTCCCTCATTTTCACCATTTAAGCCTGAGTGCCTGACATAGGCCAGCTCTAGGTAAAGGCCTAAAGTGTAAAGAATCATTCATGGCAAGGGCTAATAATTGCATTGTTTAGGCACATTCCATTTGACACAACCAATTCAGATCTCAGAAATCACATATTATAGGAAAATAAATAGAAAAAGAAAAAGAACAGACCAGGGGTCATAGATTCAATCATTGCTTCTATTATCTTTAAGCTCTTCTCTGCTTCTCAAATTGTGCATGAGTTAACTGTACATACATAATTCAAGGATGCTAAGCTGAAGGCAGCCTAACTTAAGAGGAAGAAAAACCAACTGACCTTATATATAATTATGTGGAGAAGGCCTAACTAGCTTGATGTGGTTATTTTTCCACTCAAGGGAACAAGGGAAAAATTCCAATACACAATCATGAGCTTTCTGCAAACTCAGTCATGAGGGCACTTATCCTCAAGGCAATAGCATATCTTGTTTTCATACATTCTGTTGAATACAATTATTTGATCTAGGAGTTATCTGCCTCTCATGTGCTCCTTAAAATGGAAATGGGGTGATGCAGGAGTTGCCAATTATTCAATTCTGGCAATTGCAATTGGCTGTCATTTAAGGAATTTAATTTGTCAAGAAAACCATATGATCAAGGCAATGTGGGAGATGATGTCTCCGTTTTAGTTACTCAAGTACAGGTGTATCTATTTACCCAACAAGCATTGTCTCATTAAAACCTTCCATGGCAGAGCATGTTCAAGCCAATAAAGTTATCTGATATGAGTCTTACGTTTATCAGGGTGCAATTAGAAAGTAGCTTCTAGAGTTATATTTGGATATATGGTTAGTCCTACTTAACGGGCATATGTTTGTTGGTAATATTTAATTTACCATTTCCTTTCTGGGGTGGTTTGGAAATAGGAGATAAATTTCTTAGTTATCTTTTCTCATTTTGCTTTAATTTTTTTTTTTTGGACAAATTTTTCATTTCCTTTTCGGTATTATAAAAAGGTTTTGAAAAGTACATGTTCTAGATGGCAATCCTGTTCTACTTGGAGGCATTTGATGGATTTTATTTTTTTTCACAGAATCAAAGAAATGGTATCTTCCCTTTAATTCTACAGTAGCAACTTTTTCCTTAGCTTTTATTTTATTGATTGATTGCATGCATCAAAATTAGGTGCGGTTTCCTGGTTAAGGATACTTATTTATTTTTATTATAATTAATAAATTCAATAAAATCTCTAAAGTATTTTCGATTGGTATATACAAGGTATTTGTTCGTGAGAGAGGTAGGTTGAGTTAGGGTTTGAACTGCTTGAAGTTTTCTTCTCCTCAGATCCTTTGTATTTTGTTTGAGATTTTCTTCTCAATCTTCACATCTGCCATTAAAGCAACCTTCAATGCTAAGTTTTTCACATCCGCCATTATTGCTGAATCAAGCTTCAGGTATTTTTCACCACTATTTGTTGTCACAATCCAAAGGGTAGGGAGATGACGACGACTGAGGTTCGAAGTCTCTTATTCACAGGTGATGGCAATTGATGTTCAACGGGCACTATTTTTTTCTTTCCATCAACTTTGTTTCCTTTTCCCCAACGCTTCAAGCACTGTGAGGGATATTTGCTCCATCTGTTGACTGCACACATAATGTAGGTTTTTCTCCGCTTCCTTCTGTGCAATAGTTTAATCTCTATCTTGTTTCCTCCGCTCCTTTCACTATGTCTTGCTTTGACATTTTGTTTTGAACCAGTGGAGAATTGATTCTGTTGTTTCAATCTGCACATGAATCTGACAAATTCAGTAATCAGAAATGTTTGTTTTGACTGGGATAGATAATCTAAGTTTAGAGGTTGGTTGCCCTTCACTATTCCCATTTCACTGTTACACACTCTGCTTAAAATAAAAAAGAAAATGGTTGTCACTAGGCCAAACTGATGGCACACAGAGCCCAAGAATCAAGCCATAGTTGTCAAGGCGATGCCTAGGCGGGCGCCTAGGCGACAAGGCGCCCTTGGAGGCTCGCCTCGCCTAATCGCCAAGCAGTTTTCTATAGTGTGTTATAAAAAACTTTTATATTCTTAATTTTTTGAGGTTATAATTATAAAATAGACATTTTTTAAACTAAAATATTCATTTTGTGTGTTTATATACTAATTTCTTTTTATTATTTTCTTATTTGTTAGGGTTTAATCAACACAAACATTGCTAAATGCTGTATTGAACCCTCAAAGACTTAAAAACCTGAACCAATAAGTAAGGAAGAACATAAAATGTTGTCCAATCAACACATTTTCTTCTTTTTCTTTACTAATTTTGTGTGTTTATTTTCTAATTTCTTCTTCTTAATCTTCTTCTTCCACATTTTCTTTTCTTCTTTTCCTGTAACAGAAATAGGGGTTCAGCCCCTATATTTTTGAATTTTCTTTTCTTTCTTATTTTTCTTCTCATGAATATGTTGGAATATGTTGATTTTCTATACTTTAACATGAAGTTTATACTTTTCTTATGAAAATTGTGGATATTTATTAAGGAAATATGATTATGGAACCTAGGGAACTACCCTAAGATACATGTTTTTACTTAAAAAAATACATCGCCTAGGCGACAAGGCGCCTCCCTGTCGCCTAGCCTTGCCTTGGCGCCTTGAAAACTATGAATCAAGCTTGGCCAGGCCAAGGCAGACTCTGAATTCAAGATGAGAAAACCATTATTGGTGGTATGAGGATCAAGATCCCCGGGGGGGGGGCAGTGGAGCTCAAAGATTAAGGCCTTTAAGCCTAATAGGAAGGGTTATGAGGGGCAATCATTTCTAGTTCTCAAGGCGTGCTTGTAGGAGGGAGACAAAATCCTTGATGGCATGCTAATGTAGGGGCTGGTAGATAGAACTTGGAAGACAAGGTCGATGAGTAGCTTTGCTTCAAAATCCAACAGGGTATAGTCTGAGTATTTGGGAAAATCCAGAGAACTACTAGAGAATAATAAAGAGAAGGAGAAATGATGTGTTTCTAACTTTCTCCAATACTAACAGAGGAGAAAAGAACAATTATGGAGGAGAGTAAAAGTTAACTTATTCATTCAATTCTGCTGTTCTGAATGGATTTACATGCATATGGAATTCCTCAGAGGTTTGACTAAGTAGAAACTTAGCAATTACTAAGATTGTAGCCGACTCCTAATTAGGATCCTATAAATTCCTAAGAGTAGAAACTCAGAAAATAGAAATACAGCAAAGTAGTAGTTGACTTAAACGAATAGTTTCCTAACAAAATAGGAAACTGTAAAGAAAACAACAGCTGGTTTAAAAAAAATAGAAATTATAAATTTAGAAAGCTGTCAGATTCTAAATCTGGGTGCTGCCAATTGTTCAGTCATATGTTTTAGTAACTTTGGGATGCTCAAATCTCTCTAAAAATTGATTTGCTGTATCCTCTATTGCTGTAGAGCACATCAGGACCATACTGGTCCCAACAGATACAAGATTGTAGCTTCTCTATAATCTGTTCATCCCTTTTCTTTTCTCTGAGTTAGGCATTTGGTCCTGTATAATTAGCTAGGTTTTTCCTTCTATCTTGGTTGGATTTTTTCCATATTTTGGTATTGTTTCTTTATTTCCTTTTAATAGCTTTGTGTGTTTGATATTCATGCTTTTCAATGTTTGACATAATGCTGGTTATATGGCACATGTATGCAGCTTATGTGTTCTCATTTCAGTTCTTTTATCATCTGTACATTCATTTGATCCATTCCTATTTGAAAATTCCCCGGATTTCTCAAACTTCTTCAGTCATTCTACTTGAACAGTTTCATTTTTTATCCTTTTCCTTTGTTTGGTTTCTATTTTCAGTTGCAAATGAAAATTCTGTTGGATGGGATTGGGAACTTGTTATGTTATTGTTTACTTTTGACTTTTGAGGACTGGTGGAGCATTCTAATTTTAGAGGGAGGGGGTTCATCGGTTTCTTTATTTTTTTTTAATTTCTTTCATTTGGATTAATGGCCTTTTCTTTTGACGAGTAAACAAGGATAAAACCATTATATTGCAGCATTTTGCTATAAAAAAAGTTAATTATATTAAGTTTGAGGCACCCATCTGGTTTTCTTTTCAATGGATAAGTTGAAAACTTGCAAGAAGGTTGCTTAATATGTCATTTTAAGATTCCCATTTTGTTGAAATTGATGAACTTTGTTTTGATGAGTAATGAAATGTACTAGCCTGAAAACTGGTTGAGCTTAACCTCTCTGAAAGTTCTGTAGAGTGTCTGACAAACTTCTTTTAACAGGTTTTTGTTCACAGAACTTGTGAAACAAAATGAAATTCAAGGTTGTATGGAGGAAAGTGCGTGATTATGTCCGCTATGATTTGAAGGAAATTGCTTTTCCTTCATCTTTGCCTGATCCGCCCCATATAAAAAAGAGGAGAAAATTGACATGGAATGAACGATTTCTTGTAAGTTGTTCATCTTCCTGGATTGGTAGTGTCCCTTGTTAGACTGTTGATCTATAATTACATATTATAATTTCCTGTGAATTTGGACTGTTTAAGTGTTTAATTGATRAGACACCTATTCAGTATAGTAAGACTCAGATGATCCTAACAAATTTGTAGGTTGACATTGTATTTCCAAATGCAGGTCCATACAATAACCTTCCTGCCAGGCCCAACATATATAATTCAATATTTAATTGTGAGGATGATTAGGTTTATCCAACTATGCTACCTGGGTACTTGTACAAGGGTGCATATCATGTTGCATACTTCTATTTTCAGTGTAGATTTCATATACAATACCATATCCAGCTGTGTCCTTGTGGTACCCAGGTAACATGGTTATCCAGTCAGTTTGAATTTGTGCTACTCTTTCATTTGACATGCAAGCTATCAATTGGGTGGACTTGGTTGATGGCAGATATACATATATTTGTTTGATGGCAGGGAACCATGCTATTTGCTTGAAAGTTTTCGATGTTCACACTTTACAGTATTCCTTATTTCTTCTTTCTCTTAATTTACAAATATAGCTTGTTTTATGGATACTTGCTCTCAAAAATTGTGGGGTGTTACATTCCATCAATTTTTTTTTTTTTTTTTTCCAGATGACTCAGAATTCCTCTGCAAAAGTTTGGAATCCATTGGATAACATACTGTTTCTGAATTTCTTCTGCAGGTGTTGAAAGAGGCATCTAGACTTTATGCAGCAAGTTGGGTACGCGATATTGGTCCTGATCTTCGCCCAAATGATTACAGAAAAGATGAAAACAATGAAGTAAAAACCACTAGTGGAAATACACCAACCAAAGAAAAAGAACCCTCCACATTGGAGGACCTTGGTGGGCTTCTACTTCCTTTCTTCTCTTTTTTATAAATTTTACAATTTACCATTTATACTAGATTTTTCTAGTAAGCCATTTTTCTAACATTTTTTGTTAAGATAAGTCACTCTTCTTTCTGATGGATGTTGTTTGTGCATTCCCTAAGAATCATAAAATTACCTCTATCTAATGATATTTTTTTCGCTGCACTGTCTAATGATATTATTTCTTATGATTTTATTATTTGTCACTTGGTATGTGGTTTACCTGATTCCATCAAATGAAATCTCAAGTTGTGCCATGGACTGCAATCTAAAACAAATTGTTATTTGTTCTCTGCCAAGTATTATTGATCTAGAATTAAATTTATGAAAGGAGGTAACCTGTGCTTGAACACTTGTTAACTAGAAGATGATGATGGTGGAAGGAGAGATCACTTGGTGAACTAGAAGATGATGTGTAAACCCAAACTGGAAGGGGTTGGGGGAGTGTTGGGGTTAGGTCACCTTTTGGAGAGAAACATTGCTTTTCTGGCTGGGTAAGTGGCTGTAGAGATTTCCCTTGGAGCAAAACTGTCTTTTGGATTCAGTCATTTGAAGCAAGTACAAAAGGTATAGGAATGGGTGGGACACCAACTTGGCTCTATCTCAAACTTCTTCCCTCAGCCCTTGGAAATGTATTGTCTCTTACTGAGTATTTTTTTTCTCCCTTCTTGCGTTATAGTCTAGGTAATGGCAACTGAATTAAATTCTTGGCATACATTTGGCTTGGACAACAACCTCTTTGTTCCTCTTACCCTTCTCTTTAGGCTTACTCTTAATATGGATGCCACCATCTCCTTGGTTATCTGTAGAGGGGTGCATGGCCTCTCTTTTAATTTTAGTTTCTGCAGAGCCTTAACTGATGTTGAAGCCTGTGAGATTTCCTCTCTCCGTTCCTCCCTCTTCTGTTTTTCTCACCCCTCTGTTCCCTGACAAGAGAACAGAAGCTGGTGGCAGGTTCAGCTAACCCCTTCCCTCCTATTAAGAAAATTTGGCTTTCAGTGGCTGGTCCCTCCTAGAGTTCAAGGTTTAAAATGTCGGTGTCGATGGAAATGTCGCTTACCAAAATATAGGACATATGTCGGAAATGTCGAGGGGAAATATTGTAAAAATTAGAGACATTGTGGAAATATTATGAAATATGTGGAAATATGCAA